AGACGAAGCCTTGGGGCACTTTTGACGCGCCCCGTCCTTTAAGGGACGATTAAGGGATGAGGGATAGGAGCCACAGGTCTGGAACCTTCGACTGAGGTTAGATATTGACCCGAGGAATCGATTGCGACCATTATTTTGGCGATCAGACGAAGCCTTGGGGCACTTTTGACGCGCCCCGTCCTTTAAGGGACGATTAAGGGATGAGGGATAGGAGCCACAGGTCTGCAACCTTCGACTGAGGTTAGATATTGACTCGAGGAATCGATTGCGACCATTATTTTGGCGATCAGACGAAGCCTTGGGGCACTTTTGACGCGCCCCGTCCTTTAGGGAACGATTAAGGGATGAGGGATAGGAAACACAGGTCTGGAACCTTCGACTGAGGTTAGATATTGACCCGAGGAATCGATTGCGACCATTATTTTGGCGATCAGACGAAGCCTTGGGGCACTTTTGATGCGCCCCGTCCTTTAAGGGACGATTAAGGGATGAGGGATAGGAGCCACAGGTCTGGAACCTTCAACTGAGGTTGGATATTGACCCGAGGAATCGATTGCGACCATTATTTTGGCGATCAGACGAAGCCTTGGGGCACTTTTGACGCGCCCCGTCCTTTAAGGGACGATTAAGGGATGAGAGATAGGAGCCACAGGTCTGGAACCTTCGACTGAGGTTAGATATTGACCCGAGGAATCGATTGCGACCATTATTTTGGCGATCAGACGAAGCCTTGCGGCACTTTTGACGCGCCCCGTCCTTTAAGGGACAATTAAGGGATGAGGGATAGGAGCCACAGGTCTGGAACCTTCGACTGAGGTTAGATATTGACCCGAGGAATCGATTTGCGACCATTATTTTGGCGATCAGACGAAGCCTTGGGGCACTTTTGACGCGCCCCGTCCTTTAAGGGACGATTAAGGGATGAGGGATAGGAGCCACAGGTCTGGAACCTTCGACTGAGGTTAGATATTGACCCGAGGAATCGATTGCGACCATTATTTTGGCGATCAGACGAAGTCCTTGGGGCACTTTTGACGCGCCCCGTCCTTTAAGGGACGATTAAGGGATGAGGGATAGGAGCCACAGGTCTGGAACCTTCGACTGAGGTTAGATATTGACCCGAGGAATCGATTGCGACCATTATTTTGGCGATCAGACGAAGCCTTGGGGCACTTTTGACGCGCCCCGTCCTTTAAGGGACGATTAAGGGATGAGGGATAGGAGCCACAGGTCTGGAACCTTCGACTGAGGTTAGATATTGACCCGAGGAATCGATTGCGACCATTATTTTGGCGATCAGACGAAGCCTTGGGGCACTTTTGACGCGCCCCGTCCTTTAAGGGACGATTAAGGGATGAGGGATAGGAGCCACAGGTCTGGAACCTTCGACTGAGGTTAGATATTGACCCGAGGAATCGATTGCGACCATTATTTTGGCGATCAGACGAAGCCTTGGGGCACTTTTGACGCGCCCCGTCCTTTAAGGGACGATTAAGGGATGAGGGATAGGAGCCACAGGTCTGGAACCTTCGACTGAGGTTAGATATTGACCCGAGGAATCGATTGCGACCATTATTTTGGCGATCAGACGAAGCCTTGGGGCACTTTTGACGCGCCCCGTCCTTTAAGGGACGATTAAGGGATGAGGGATAGGAGCCACAGGTCTGGAACCTTCGACTGAGGTTAGATATTGACCCGAGGAATCGATTGCGACCATTATTTTGGCGATCAGACGAAGCCTTGGGGCACTTTTGACGCGCCCCGTCCTTTAAGGGACGATTAAGGGATGAGGGATAGGAGCCACAGGTCTGGAACCTTCGACTGAGGTTAGATATTGACCCTGAGGAATCGATTGCGACCATTATTTTGGCGATCAGACGAAGCCTTGGGGCACTTTTGACGCGCCCCGTCCTTTAAGGGACGATTAAGGGATGAGGGATAGGAGCCACAGGTCTGGAACCTTCGACTGAGGTTAGATATTGACCCTAGGAATCGATTGCGACCATTATTTTGGCGATCAGACGAAGCCTTGGGGCACTTTTGACGCGCCCCGTCCTTTAAGGGACGATTAAGGGATGAGGGATAGGAGCCACAGGTCTGGAACCTTCGACTGAGGTTAGATATTGACCCGAGGAATCGATTGCGACCATTATTTTGGACGATCAGACGAAGCCTTGGGGCACTTTTGACGCGCCCCGTCCTTTAAGGGACGATTAAGGGATGAGGGATAGGAGCCACAGGTCTGGAACCTTCGACTGAGGTTAGATATTGACCCGAGGAATCGATTGCGACCATTATTTTGGCGATCAGACGAAGCCTTGGGGCACTTTTGACGCGCCCCGTCCTTTAAGGGACGATTAAGGGATGAGGGATAGGAGCCACAGGTCTGGAACCTTCGACTGAGGTTAGATGTTGACCCGAGGAATCGATTGCGACCATTATTTTGGCGATCAGACGAAGCCTTGGGGCACTTTTGACGCGCCCCGTCCTTTAAGGGACGATTAAGGGATGAGGGATAGGAGCCACAGGTCTGGAACCTTCGACTGAGGTTAGATATTGACCCGAGGAATCGTTTGCGACCATTTATTTTGGCGATCAGACGAAGCCTTGGGGCACTTTTGACGCGCCCCGTCCTTTAGGGAACGATTAAGGGATGAGGGATAAGAGCCACAGGTCTGGAACCTTCGACTGAGGTTAGATATTGACCCGAGGAATCGATTGCGACCATTATTTTGGCGATCAGACGAAGCCTTGGGGCACTTTTGACGCGCCCCGTCCTTTAAGGGATGATTAAGGGATGAGGGATAGGAGCCACAGGTCTGGAACCTTCGACTGAGGTTAGATATTGACCCGAGGAATCGATTGCGACCATTATTTTGGCGATCAGACGAAGCCTTGGGGCACTTTTGACGCGCCCCGTCCTTTAAGGGACGATTAAGGGATGAGGGATAGGAGCCACAGGTCTGGAACCTTCGACTGAGGTTAGATATTGACCCGAGGAATCGATTGCGACCATTATTTTGGCGATCAGACGAAGCCTTGGGGCACTTTTGACGCGCCACGTCCCTTAAGGGACGATTAAGGGATGAGGGATAGGAGCCACAGGTCTGGAACCTTCGACTGAGGTTAGATATTGACCCGAGGAATCGATTGCGACCATTATTTTGGCGATCAGACGAAGCCTTGGGGCACTTTTGACGCGCCCCGTCCTTTAAGGGACGATTAAGGGATGAGGGATAGGAGCCACAGGTCTGGAACCTTCGACTGAGGTTAGATATTGACCCGAGGAATCGATTGCGACCATTATTTTGGCGATCAGACGAAGCCTTGGGGCACTTTTGACGCGCCCCGTCCTTTAAGGGACGATTAAGGGATGAGGAATAGGAGCCACAGGTCTTGAACCTTCGACTGAGGTTAGATATTGACCCGAGGAATCGATTGCGACCATTATTTTGGCGATCAGACGAAGCCTTGGGGCACTTTTGACGCGCCCCGTCCTTTAAGGGACGATTAAGGGATGAGGGATAGGAGCCACAGGTCTGCAACCTTCGACTGAGGTTAGATATTGACCCGAGGAATCGATTGCGACCATTATTTTGGCGATCAGACGAAGCCTTGGGGCACTTTTGACGCGCCCCGTCCTTTAAGGGACGATTAAGGGATGAGGGATAGGAGCCACAGGTCTGGAACCTTCGACTGTGGTTAGATATTGACCCGAGGAATCGATTGCGAGCATTATTTTGGCGATCAGACGAAGCCTTGGGGCACTTTTGACGCGCCCCGTCCTTTAAGGGACGATTAAGGGATGAGGGATAGGAGCCACAGGTCTGGAACCTTCGACTGAGGTTAGATATTGACCCGAGGAATCGATTGCGACCATTATTTTGGCGATCAGACGAAGCCTTGGGGCACTTTTTACGCGCCCCGTCCTTTAAGGGACGATTAAGGGATGAAGGAATGGAGCTAGGGCAAAATAAATGTCATATTCGTGTTCCCCGTCCCCCAATTGACCTGATAGCACTTTTTGAAGCGATTCTGAATCCGACGCTGTATTCGTTGCTGTTGCTGACGCTAACTTCACGGACATGATAGTTCTGACAGAAGTCGGAGCCGAGGGCTGTTCACGGGCCCTGTGTGCGGTCGGACCGCACACAGCCTCGAAGCTCCGCCCACTTCGTCCCTACGTCAGCCTTCCGTCACCGCACACAGCGATCGCTGTGGCCGGTCGGGACTGGCCACAGCGGACCGTCCACCGCACGCAGCCGTGACGTCAGAACCGCCTACCCATCCCCTACCCCCACGCCTGCTGGACGCACCGCACACACCGCACGCAGCAGTGTGCGGTGCCCGTGAACACCCCTCCGGAGTCGATTTGGGTAGGTAACCGGAGTCTGAGTCGGAGTCGGAGTCGACACTTCTGCCCGGAGTCGGGGTCGGTGCTGGTTTTTGGAAGTCGGAGTCGGAGTTGGAGTCGGAGTCGGAGTTACCGAATATTCATATCGACTCCGCAGCCCTGCTGGTATGGGTAGTCATAAAGCAGTAACTATGTACTTAAGCAGGCGCTCTCCTTGGCTGCAAAAACAAGTGTGGCGCCTATACCTTCGACTACCCCAACCCTGGTATGTGCTTCTTCTACGATCTAATCTGGAACGACGGTCTGAAATTTTCATAATTTTTGCAAAAAGATGCATGAAATGGAGCGCGAGAAAGGGCGCTGCGTAGCACCGTACGATTTTTCTTTTAGAAAACCTTGGGATGCGTAAACACGTCTACTCGTTGCAATCCCCGACTCCTTGCTTCCCGCCGGTGCACCGGCCGCACCGGCCAACGCTGGCTATACTTTCCCCTGCCCTGTAGGTACTCACAAACCACTATGCTCCATTTCGACACATAGATGGCACTAGTGAAAACGCCTGAATGTATGCTGTACCGCCTCACACAACTTTCTGACGTCATAAGTGCTACCAAAGATAATTGTCTCGAGAGGGATCCTAAATAACATTCAACCTTGAAATAGGCGGAGACAAGTGTGTTTTTGTGTTGGGTGGGTAATGGTGTGGGTAATGGTGTTATTTCCGTTATTTCTCTCGACGTGTGTTTAGGTCAAGGCGTTTGGGTGATTCATTTGGCGCTGCGGAAGTCATATAACTTTTTTTACTGATGCGTATTTCACGATGACTTGAAGGTATTTCTTTCAGTTTACTCCTGTTTGTATTTGTAACATATCTTGCTTCTGTTTATTCATGATTTTTTTTTAATCCGCCAAGGTATACCTATTCATTGTACATTTCAAGCATGGTTAAATTGCAGACACTTAACCAAAAAAGCAGAGGCATTGACAGCTTAACACAGCTGGCACACTAGCTTACCCCGCGTGTAAAGTACTAAGCCAGCTCAAGCTCTGGATTGGGATTGGCCATATAAATATAGTTGCGGCTAGTCTCGACCTTGAGTCCTTGCGCCCTGAATTCTGATTTTATTTGTTTGAACAGCTTTCACGGTAGCGTGTCAAACGAGCAAATAAATTAATGAATGGATTATCTCTACATCTAGGAATGTCAATCGTCGTGAGGGGCTGAGGAGTGAGGACTAGAGCAATCCACATCATCAATTTAGTTTATTGCATCTGATTCTGATTCTGGTAAGCATTTCTGTGTAGTAGCGATTTAATTTGATTTTGAAAAGTGCACCTCATCTCATTGCTCTGCTCTTGAACTTCAGTTCTATGATATTTGGGGGAAACATAGCATTTTAAGCTCTCAGCATTTTTGGATTACCTATGCAACTGGATAATCTTTTCACTGTTCATCTTTGCAGCTATATTGATATAGATGGATTTTGATACCACCATAATTGTCTATTGTAGACAGTTTTTATGGGGTTGCCTGTGCATTATTTGTTCTGCATTTCAATTTCAGTGAGGAGACTCCAGTGAGTGGGCTCACCAGTATGGAGGAAAGTGAGGAGACCTTGCTGCGGGAGTGTCGCCTTGGCAATGTGGAGGAGGTGCAGACCCTGCTGGAGGCTAGAGCGACTGACCCAGACTCGCTCGATATCAACTGCAAAGGTAGGTGTTGCTGCATCCTGTTAAGTCTGTGCTGAAATGTTATGCTCTGGGTGTTGTTATATCAGCCTGTGAATGAAGCTAGGTATTTGAAACCATTGAGTGATTGTTGGCCATTGCCATATCTTACAAGTGGTTAATTACCCATTTTCCATGTTGTCTGCAGGTCGGAGCAAGCATTTTCTGGACCAGACGGCTCTGCACCTGGCCACCTACTTCGGCCACACTCGTGTGGTGGAACTACTTCTGGAGCATGGAGCGGACATCAACGCAGTCAACCAGTGCGGGGACACGCCGCTGCACAAGGCCGCCCATATCGGACACGAGGTACGTCACGATCGGACCGGCCACGGCTGCTAGTGTGCCTGCGGCTACGATGCGTGTGCCCATGCGTCTACCTCGTGTGCCGGCCGCCGCGTTCGTGGTGCGCACTACTGATTATGACACACTGTATGCCACTCTTTTGCTGATGAAGCCGTCGAAATCAACCGGCAAGGATGGTATTAGCGTACTGATGCTTCAGTCTTTCTTCTCCGGGATGGGCCACGTACTGCTAAACGTAGTGAATTCCAGCCTGGCTACTGGTGTCGTGCCGCGTGATTGGAAGCACGCACTAGTGACCCCTATTCCGAAGGGGAAGACGTCTGTGAAACCGTCTGATACGCGTCCCATATCTATTCTACCAGCGATTATGAAGCTGGTGGAGCGTATTGTTCAGGGCCAGCTGTCAAGCTATCTAGAGGATAACCACTTGCTTTCCGATGCTCAACACGGTTATCGCAAACAGCGATCCACCGAAACTGCTCTGCATACTGTAACGGACATGGCTCTTCAAGCCATGGACAATGGACAAATCTGTATTTTGGTACTATTAGATCTATCAAAATGTTTTGATGTAGTCCCACACGCAAAACTACTGGAAAAGTTGTCGGTATACGGTGTCGATGTGCAGTGGTTCCGTAACTATTTAGCGCATCATTCGCAGCAGGTGCAGATGAGGGGTGCAGATGGTGCGAGTCTCCTGTCAGATAGCAAACCCAACGAGATCGGTGTGTATCAAGGCGGAGCGCTCAGCTGCGTTCTTTATATGCTCTTCTCAAATGACCTGTGCTTGTGTGTGCCTGATGACGTCACCGTCGTTCAATTTGCGGACGACACGCAGCTCATGGTTACTGGCAGAAAATGTGATGTAGATCAGCTGATCGCACGCATGGAGCACGCGCTCTCCTGCGTTTTTCAGTGGTTTTGCCATAACGGCATGAAACTGAACGCAGGAAAAACAAAGATGCTCGTGATAGGAACGCCAGCAATGCTCCGCGGTTTGGCCCCTGTTACTGTGGATTTCTGTGCGACCACAATCACTGAGTCTAGAACGGTGAGGAACCTCGGAGTGACGATGGACCGTCATTTGAGTTTTGAGCCGCATGTCGACAGCGTTACACAGAAATGTACTGGCATGCTCATAGCACTGATGCATACACGTCATGTTGTGCCGAGGTCTGCCTTGAAGTGCATCGTCCAGTCACTAGTGATCTCGGTATTGCGATACTGTTTGTCCGTCTACGGATCGTGCGGAGAGACGCAACTTCGGCGGCTCCAAAAAGTACTGAACTTCTGTGCCCGGGTCGTATCGAACAAGCGGCGTCGCGACAGTGTGGCATCTGTAATGCGCGAATTGAAATGGTTATCTGCCAAGCGACTAATTGACTACCACACCGTGTGCGCTGTACAGCGAGCTATCGTGTCTTCCCAGCCTGAGCGACTGAGCAGCACCATAGGGCGCCAGGCGAGCAATCGCCACCAGCACGACACAAGGCGCGCCAATTTGCTCACGCTCCCGTCCATTCGGACGGAGGCAGGCCGACGGCGGCTGTGCTACAGGGGAGTGGCGCGACTCAATCAGCTCAAAGTTGACCCAATGGTGTCATCTTTCAGAGCTAACGCTATGAAGGTGCTGCGAGCAATGCCTGAACAAGATGCTTAGATTGTGTGTGATGTTGAGCATACGTACTGTGATTTGTGAATGCGTGGATGTGAGCTCGATATACTCCCCCTCCCCATGATATTCCCCATCGTATGACGTGAGCTTGTGAAAAGCCACTCCAATGTGTGGATCTGGCTCGAATATATCTGTATCTGTATCTGTATCTGAGGTGAGTAACAAAGATGGGACAGAAATGGACGGACACGGACACGGAACGGACACGGAACGGACACGGAACGGACACGGAACGGACACGGACGGAACGGACACGGACGGAACGGACACGGACACAGAGTCACAGACGGAACGGACACGGGCGGATATTGACGGAATCGAGACTAGTGCAGTTGCTCTCCCTTTCCTCTCCCCCGCAGTTGGTGTTGTTACTCCCCCTTCCTCCCCCAGGAGCTGTAGCTAAAACTCCCTCTCCTCCCGCAGGAGCTGGTGCTCCTGCTTCTGAAGCACGGTGCCTCTGTCAGCGTGGTGAACGGCGACGGCCGGCTGGCGGCGGCCGTCTCCTCCGACCCGTACATCAGCAGTCTGCTGCGGGCGGCGGCCGGCACCGAGCGGCGCCTGAGGCAGCAGCGGCTGCTGCGCGCCGCTAGCGACGGACTCACCACCACCGTCGACAGGATGGTGAGAGAGCGAGCACGCTGTGCTGTATTTTGACGTGAATTTTGAAGCTGAGGGAGCTGAGTATAATTTTGATAACTTTCAAGTCAAATGCTTTGTCACTCAGATTTCCTAGCGATGTGTATATAAAATCAAGTCAACACGTGCCGATCACAACTCGTGGATAAAGCCACGAGCCTTTACTGAAACAATGGTCACATTTCATTGTTCGTTTGGTAGGTAGTGCTCGTTAACAATTCACTGCACTGCTGACTTTCGTATACCGTGTGTCCGGCAGCTGAAGGAGCCTCAGCCGCCCAACATTAACTGCCAGGACGACCAGGGTAACACGTGTCTGCACGTGGCCGCCTATAGAGGACACAAGGCCATGGCCGTGCTGCTGCTGGAGAATGGCATCGACACGACCATCAGGAACAGCCAGGGTGAGTCCTGCACTCAGGCAGGGTGAGTTCAGACTCTGCTACCCTGACAGGGTGAGCTCAGCACACGAGTGGTTGAGCTAACTCAGCCAGTGTGAGTCTGGCACTCCAGCACCCTGACAGGCTAAGTGGAGACTTCTGAGAGGGCAAGTTAGCTCAGCCAGGATTAGTCCAACCAACACCCATTCGTAGGACAGTCTTGAGTGAGTCCAACACTGTAATTGTTGAGGCGGCCTCACCTGAAATGATCATTTCACGCCAACAGTGCAATTGTCGAGGCGACCTCACCTGAAATGATCATTTCACGCTGGCCCATGATTTCAGACAAGTAGCTGACAATACCGTGACCTCTCTGTACCCGTCCAGGTTATTTGGCACTACTGACCTCTTCTGCCCTGACCCCAGGTCAGCTGGCGGTGGACCTGACCCGGGACGAGCAGATGCGCCAGGTGCTGGGCGTGCTGCCCGTCCGCCGGCTCCAGAGGACCGCCGTCCGCTGCGAGGGACCCCTGGTGCGCCGGCACCGCTTCACCGGCTGGAAGCCCGTCTGGGTGAGACTAAGACGCCCTCTCTGGGCTGGAAACTCGTCTGGGTGAGAGCGAGACGCCGACTCTAGGCTGTAAGCCCGTCTGGTTGAGAAGCCCGTCGTATGTGACCTCTAGGAACCGTGTAACCCCTGCAACCAATGTGTAACTTATGTGACCCGTGTCTCGTCACCCTGTGTGACCCACGTGGCCCACGTGTGACCCTCAGGCGGTGCTGGAGCGCGGCGTGCTGACCTATTTCGGGTGCCGGGCGGACGCCAGCAGCGGAGTACGCAGGAAGGAGTTCCGGTACCTGGACGGGGCGCGAGTGGCGGCCGGGGAGAGTCCAGAGGGAGCTACCATGGTGCTGCAGTTTAATAACGGCACCATGCACCGGCTGAGGTGCGACGACGGAGACGACCGGGTCAGCCGGCAGGTCAGTGAGTAGGGGGACAGTAGGATCAGTCGGCAGGTCAGTTAGTAGATAAACAACAGGGTCAGTCAACTGCTCAGTGGGGACGGGGAGGGACAGGGAGGGTCAGCTGACTGGTTAGGCCGGAGACAGGGTCAGACGACAGGGTCAGTGGGGAGTCGACGTGTCAGTGAGGAGACAGATTGAGCTGACTGGTCAGTCAGGGGGCATGGTCAGCTGGCAGGTCAGTGAATAGGGGCCGGTCAGCCGACAGGGTCAGGTTAAATGACAGGTCAGTGGGAGAAAAAGAGTCAGTCGACGGGGTCAGTAGATGGGACAGGGTCAGTCAGAGGCAGGGAGGAACGTCAGTCCACAGGCTAGTGGGGAAGATATGGTCAGCCGACAGATCAGCCGACAGGGGCAGACGTCAGGTCAGTCAGGGGGAGACAGCGTCAGTGAGAAAGGACAGGGTCAGTGACAGGTCAATCAAGGGGTGCCCGCGGCAGTCAGTTGACGGGGCAGTTACGCTCACAAAACACTGCTCACCTCAAAGCACCGCTCAGTGAGGTCGGTCCGTGAGGATTGAAGCATTGCATTTACATATTATTTCGTCATTTGTATCCACCAACGTATTCCACCACGTGGCTTACCAACGTGTTCTACCTTCTCACTTATCCCCTTTGTCACCGTTTCAGAAGTGGATGAACGCGCTGCAGGAGCACATCGAGTTCAGCAGCTACTACATCCGACAGGGTCCGGCCGGCCTGCAGGACCCCGACGAACAGGAGCTTCTCAAACCGCTCGGATCCATGCAGGTAGGTACCGTAACGTGCTGAAATGTTCAGCCGTTTACCTTAACCCTATTAGTGGCAGGGGGGGGGGGGGTTGTTTTTATCCACCCCTCAGGTTTTTCGGGAATATCTCCGAAACCGCTGAAGCTACGATGCTGAAATTTTCTGACTTTTCCTAAAACTAAATTGGGCACATTCCCTGAAAATTTCAAGTTCATAACTTTACCAGGGGCGGCTCCAGGGCACTGGGAATTGGGGGGTCCTATTCGTGAAGCGAGTCATTTGGGCGAAGATCACGATGCTGCACCAGTTTTACGAACAGTGAATGAAAGGTATCATGTGATAACATATACAAAGTTATTGTGCATCCTCTTTTGACACGTTTTTGCTATAATAGGCGGATCCAGGCGTCCAAAAAGGGGGGTTATTTTTTACCTCCCAACATAGGTACCCTGACACCGCCTATGCATGACCAATACAATTTTAGTCGTTCTCTCACAAGAAAATTGTAACATAACAAGACCATTGCCACCCTTTTTAGAAACAGTACCAACAAAAACCTTATTTACTATACTTTTTGTGTACCCCCAATCTCAATGATCTGTATCCGCCTATGATTTTTGAAAATGCATATTTTTAGGATCTAGTGAATTCCTGGTTCATTCTCTATCGATCGGCAAAAGTTGCGTTAAGATTGGTTCAGAAACCTGGCCGTGATAAACAGTCTAAAATGTATCTGCAATTTGCCCTTTTTTACCCCCCTCTACCCCCCTATTGACATTTTTTAATTTTATTTTATTTAGAAATGTAGATCTCGTTGAGTCAAATCGAATGCCGTTTGAATTTTGAAAATCGGCCCGTTAGATCTCGAGATATCAAGGGGGGGGGGGTCGTAAACAGCCCCCCCCCCTGCCACTAATATGGGGTAGCCAGGAGCCTGCCACTAATAGGGTTAAGTCTCGTAACCGGACGCTGTGTTCTTACTTGTACTGTTGTTTTTAAGGAAGTCCGGTATATCAGCAGCTGAAATGCGGCGAATGCCCACCCTTCACCCAGGCGCGGTCCGAATTTGACAGCGAAAACGATTGAAGCAAACTGGATGGGACATTCATTGCAGCGCGATAATTGCTGTTCAGCTGGCCCAATGCAAACAAAAGAGAAAGACCTTGACAACCGTCTGTCATTGAATGCACGGACCGATATGTTATGAGTTTGTTTCGAATGTCAGGCTTGTCAGCTCTGCCCCGTCTGTTCGTGCCGTCAGGACGCGATGCAGTCGGCCAAGGCGCAGGAGCAGCTGCTGCGGGAGCACCTCCAGCAGATCACAATGCTGCTGAAGGCCGTCCAGGCGGGTCAGGAGACCGAGCCGCACACACTGCTGCTCCTAGAGGTCAGTGATGTCAGAGGACCGAGTCGCACAAACTGCTGCTCCTAGAGGTCAGTGGGGTCACATTTGAGAGGTCAGTGGGGGCAGGAAACGGAACCGCCCACACCTCTGCTTCTATAGGTCTGTGAACACAGAAGTCAGTGGTCAGATGCCAGTCACTGGCCTATGATCAGTGTTCAGAGGTCAAAGCCATATTCGGTTGGAAAAAGCTGGTATCAGTTACTGTCAGGTGTCCGATATTAATCACTCGGGTCGGTTATGTGTGACCACTCACGCGAAAAAAGAACGGCTGGTCTGACTGACCAGCCGTTAGATGTCAGTGGTGTCAGTGTACGGTGGGAGGTCAGAGGTCACAGGCTGTACTGGTCAGGGGCTCACGGCTGTGGGGGTACAGGCATACCAGGGGTCAGCGCGTGTAGTGACCGACCACTGCGCAATTAGTGAGCTGACTCTGCCGATTTGCAGGGCTGAGTGAGTGTGGTCTGACAAGGATCTATTGCTGATGTAGCTCTGGTGTGCTCTAGCCTTGCTGGTACTAACTAATTAGCTACACTCCTGGGCGTATGCGTGGGCGCCAACTCAGTTGATACTTTCTAATTAACATGACTGGCAGTGGTGCTTGTTCGATAAATACTGCACATTTATTCTCATATTATGATGTCGACTTCAAGTCTCGTCTGTGAGGTATGTGTTATACTTATACCGTTTCCCCATATCACTTTGACCTGTGCCCAGTCAGAAGCTATGCACCTGTGTCAAATCCCCTACTAAACCGTACCCCATTACCCCGTAGAGCTGTAACCCCCTGTTCCCGGTACCACGTGGTGACAGTGTCCCGCTCTCCATTCCACAGAAGCTGCAGGCGACCAGTGACAGCGCCAACCACATGGTCACCAGCCTGAGCCACTGCCTCGCACTCTTCACACAACAGGAGGAGGTCAGTGCGGGCGACTCTAGCAGCGTCACCGCTCGGTGTGCGCCCCGATAGCGTTACCGCTCTTGCTCAGTCGTGACTGGACGCAGGCTGACCGGCAAATCTGCGCGTGTTGTAGGCAGTACATCTTTTTGTAGGCATTTATTTATTTTCTTGTGTTTGTTTTCCTTAATTTTCCTTCTTATTCTGTACTTTTCTATTTTGCTCCGTATCATAAATCAACCGAAGTAACTTATTTATGTATCATATTTGAATGCCACTTATCTGTCTAGTCTACCTTGTCCTCACGAAAACTGAAGTCAGGCGCGCAAGGCCTACTCTGAAAGCCGTGGTGTGCATTCTGTCAGTTCGCTCTCGCCTGCTTCCACTGCCCTCTCGCCTTTTGATGCCTTGTCCTTTTCCTGACTTTCTCTCTCCCTGACGCGCCCCTCCCTCCCTCTGCCTGTCAGGTGCGCCAGGAGCGGGACCCTCCCACTCCTCTCCCTGACGCCCCCCCCCCTCTGTCTGTCAGGTGCGTCAGCTGCAGGTGCGACAGGAGCGCGAGCGGTGCCGCGTGCTGGAGCAGTCGCTGCACGTGCTGGCCACGGAGCACCACCAGCTGGAGCTGACGCTGCAGCAGAGCCTGGCGCTGGAGACGCCCTCGGCCGCCGCCGACCGCCTCCTCGACTGCACCGTCACATCCGAGGATGAGTTCTTCGACGCCGACGATGATGGTTAGTTTCAGTGGAGGGGGTTTCGGAGGGTGTAAATTCAGTCTGGCTGTCCATTCGCCTCTCCTTCCTTCCGTGTTCCACCATCCCAGCCTGGATGGATAGCTCTAACGGCCTCTTGCTACCGGGTACCTTACCGGGTATCACAGGCGTTGGTATGATCGTATTCATTACGATTTTGTGCCCAGTCTGAGCAACTGAGTCGTTGCTATTGAACGATTGTATGCTGACCTGCAATGGGCCACCTACAGACCGCTGGCCGAAGTGTTGGCACCTTACCTCTGATATGATCTGACTTCTCCCTTCAGGTGCGAGTACGGAGCATTCCCCTGACCTCTGACCTGCCCTGATCTCTTTCCTCAGACACGGGCGACGACTTGACGCTGACGAGCTGCAGCACCCCGTCGGGCAGCACCCCGCCGACCCTGAACGGCAGCAGCGGCACTGGCCGGGACGACTCGCTGCTCTCCCTGCAGTCTGCCGGCCGGGACGACTCGCTGCTCTCCCTGCAGTCTGCCGGCCGGGACGAGTCGCTGCTCTCGCTGCAGTCTGCCGCCTCCTCCCTGACAGTGGTGTCTTCAGAGGGAGGACGGTACCGGCGGCCACGCGCCCGCCTGCCGAGGACAGTCAGCCGACCGGCGCCCGGACCGGGCAGGTGAGTTCTCCTCCGTCCCCACAACCCCCACAGCACTACCCCTGCACAGTTGGCCGCAGACCCGCCTGCCGCGGAAGTTTTTAGACTGGCGTCTTTACCAGGCAGGTCAATTCTCTACCGCCATCGCCATCGGCCGTACCCCGACGCCGGGCGTGGCGAGACAGAGCATCCTTTCAGCCCGTCTGGTGTTATCATCACGGTTAGAGCACCGATTACGTGGTAGAACTGAGTCCGACGAGAATGGGTGTGCTCGTCCCATTCGCTGACCAAGCAGAAACTTTTTGTCGCGACTGGTCAGTCGGTGGTATGCGAGGTGGTTAGTTATTTGGTAGTGGTCTGATGTCTGATTATTGATATTATTGACATTTTACTGATCTAGCTATCCTAGATCTCGTTTTGGGGTTAAGCTGGTCCATTGGTCCCATACACTACAGCCATGGCCTGTATAGTCCACAATAACAGCGATCTCTAGGGTTCTAGTTGATCGTGTCTTGTCGACTGCATTGTCCGTAGTGGAACAGATCTGGTATAAAGCAATCCAAACATGCCTGTTCCCCGCACATCCTGTAAAAGTTAACGAGATCGAGTCGTCACAGTGCGCCAATTGCTGCGACGCATATCAACGTGCTTGATAAACCAGAATGTCTCGCACTTACTGAGCTCATTCATAGCCTGCTGATGATGCGCAATTTATCCGCTATTCTGCCTGTTGTCCCCAGAGCCGGCACTGGCTAATTCATGCCCGCCATTGTTACGTGTTGTTGGTTTGGGTCCCTGCGTGTCGACTAGCGTCGCCCAAAACCGACGGCCTGCGCACCCGACATCTAACGATTTGTGTACTTTACGGGCCCATTGTTCGTTTCCGACATTAGTTTCCGCCACTGCCGACACGGTATAAAAGCACCTCGCCTTTTTTATTCTAGGTTGAGTAGAGAGGCATTGTGAATGTATAACACGGCTCACTCAGGGACAGAAGCAAATGAGGTGCGATCTGGTGGGCTTAAAACGAAACTAAGGAGTGGGAACGGTAGGGGGTTGGCCATGTGTGATGGCTAACGCTAATGAAATCGACTCAGTATTATAGCCGACTAGCATTCAAGACATGTTTGTAGACTTACAACTGTCATCCAAACTCAAAAACACTTCACGTTATTTTGCTAAACCATCCTCTCCTGGTTATTTTCCTTCTCGAACTCATTTTCGAAGTTATTATGTATTCTCTGTGAGCATCCCACTGAGTGAAGTGGGGCCCAGAGACGCGCTCTTCATCTACCCCAGTTACCGCGTACTGGTCCGTTGGGACGGCAAGTTACGGCCGACTTTAAAAACACCCTGTTGACACGAGAAGCAGCCTGTGGCGGTGACGGGCGCACGGGACTACACCCGTGGGACCGACCCTAGCTGGCGGGACGGTGTGAGTTGTGTCCATGTTGGTGGTTGAGTGTCGGACGCGTATGCCACGACAATTAGTCAGCGGCAAGATCGCTTGCCGACGGGACTTGGCGAGACTGGTTTTCTGTGCTTAGTTTTGAAGCTGTTGCGAAATTTCAACTACTTTTAGCTTCGCAGCAGCCCGGGTTGGATACTTTTACTCTCCGGGCGAGATTGAGTTTGGCAGACAGAGATCATCTGTATATTTTTACAGCATTTTGAAGAGAAGTTTTGTGAAGAAGCCGATGAGAAGCTATAGTGAACGCTGCACATGCAATTTACTAAAATAGTATGTCTCGACATTTAGGCCGTGCCGTCATCATGCTCAGATATACATAGCTAAAATTGGCATTCCGGGAATCCATTGGCTCGGTCAGCGAGGCATTATTAGTACAGTACACTCGGCCCCATTCCAACCGTATTATAACCAAAAAGTCAAGAGGAGCGTACACTGGCACAGCTGCCGAGCCTTATACAGAGGAGATTACGGGCTCGTTCCAATGCTCACGCAGCCCAGCGACACTTAGCTCATCGAGCTCAGCTGCTCACGCTGCCACTCAGCTACCCACACGGTCCAGCGACCCTCAGCCCAGCGACTCTCAGCTCAGCGGCCTACTCGGCCGAATGAGCCATCAACAGCTGTCAGCTGCTCACGCAGCCGGATGACCCGCCGAAGCTGGTACAGCCTGCCGGCGCCGGCCGCCGTTTCCCGTAGCTGACCCACAGTCGACTGACGGGCCAGGCTCGGTGTCGGCACGAGCGACCAGGCTCGGTGTCGGCACGAGTGACCTTTTCGACCGGTAGACGTGCCGCTCGGAATGAAGCACCCATAAAACATGGAGCGGCTGCGGCTATAACACCTGGGCATACCGTCTGGGTGCAGTTCACAGGAACTCGAGCCGGGCTGGTTCGGGGTAGCAGCTTCTGACTGAAGTCTTTCTGGATGTGTTAACAAAGTTATCGAAGTTGGACGGCTGTGAAGTTCTGGACATTACTGAAAACGAGCTGACATCTAAATTAGAGGGGACTACTGTCAAAAGTAGTGGTGTTGGATTGGATTCACGGAAAGCCTGAGAGTATGTGACTTCTTTCAGGAGAGCTATTGATATCCATTTTTTAACAGAAAACATGCTATCTACCTTGAACAAGAATATCAAAAAGTAAATGAGTGTTTACCGGCGCAAACCTATGCTGAACTCAACATTGCTTAATGCGTGTAGTGCGTTATTCATTTTATTCATCCTCTTTCGTTTCCTTTAGTTTCACCGTTCTTTCAAAGTCTATTGCAAAACTGAACTCGATATTTGTGTGATTAAACTATCCTCCGTTCATCGAGTTGTGTCACGTAACTTTTATTTGACTTAAATTTGTGAGCCTGCTGGCATGCGTTTTTATGACTTTATTTTATGGCAGGTCTTTTATTTAATGTTGAAATCCATTGGGCACCCTGGAAGCTAATTTTAGGCGAAAGTGAATAGCATATGTACATGCTCGATGAATAGGTGCAGCCGATAGAGGTCAATGGTGCAGCCGCTCATGTATATAATGTCGCTCAGTCGCGATGTTGCAAAAATAAATATTCCGCATCTAGTATTTGATCAATTATTTCACCGATCTTCATATCCATTGGAAAATCAGTCTGCGCATTCGCGATCTATGAGTTGGATCCAATATGACAACTCGTACTCATCTGATAATACCTACGTTTAGTTCTCCCACAGTCATTCACTCCGAACGTTGATTATCGCACTACCTTTCCGCGAGACTATCACTGTGAAAGCATTATCCAAATACTGAGCACACGCTCGTCGCTCATCAAACATTCTGCATCCCCCATCTGCAGCGGACAAGTGCGCTACATTTACCATTCCCCTTTCCGCGGCGGGCGGCACTGTGACAGGTCGGCCGGCTCAGCTGGCGACCCTTCCGATTCGGCCCTTCCGATCCGGCCCACTCGGCCCGCCGGAACCGACGGAATCTGGGCACCGGCGAGGCTGCCGCGTTCGATCGCCCGCCGCCCGCCGCCGGTGCCAGTCGATCCCCAGCCACCGCAGGGAGCGTCCGGCCGCCGCGCGCTCCGCTGCGCCCGGTGACGACCTTGTGAAAGTCTGCCGCCTGCAGTGGCGCCGGTGACGTCTTCGCTTACACGTGGTCCATCCGTGCCGGAGCCGGTCGGACCGAGCACCGGTCCAGGGCAGGCGCGCGCGACGCACCAGTGCAGTGGGTCGCAGCGGACCGGTAGGCGGTGGAATCTGCCGTGCTGTATGCAGTGAACCTGTGACCGGCGTGGAGGCGGTGTGGAGGTGGTGTGAAGCTAGCGCTCAGGCAGAGTGTGTCGGAGTGAAGCGGTGTGAACTGGCCTGTGACTGCGTGCCCGGTGTAACCAGCCACTTACAATGCCGGACGAGGAGTCGGAACAGCCCGAGGGCGACTCGGAGCGGGCCAGAACCAACGGAACCGGCCACATGTATCGGTGGGTTCCGTCAGACATGGAGCTGGGTGGTGTTTGAGGGGAGGGGACAGGGAATCGGGGATGACCAGCTTATCAGCAAAGTTGGAATGGTTTCTGATATATGTGACTTCCCTTCGAGAAGTGCAAGGCTCATTTCTCATTAATGGCTCGAAAGGTCCTCTTTTTCCTTATCTCTGTTCAGGTGCTTCAGAAACTAGTCGTAGTCTCACTCGGTAATCGGATCTGCAGTACGTCTACTCTGAACTCTGTTCCAATTACCCGCCGGGCTGCGAGCTCGGGGCTCCGGATACCTACAGCTCAACTTTCCGCCTCCGTTTGGACAAGGTGCTCTTGAATATCCGGCACTCAATTAACTCTCCAATGAGCAAACTTGAACGTTTAGATTAGAACTAATTTCTAGGATTAGTTTGGGTCTGGCGCTTCGTCTTGCTAGATCCGGGACGCGTTTCGGTCTTCTGGGACCGTATTCGCTAATGGAGGCTTCCTTTGGCCTGAAATGGGCGGTGTGCGCGCAGGAAAGGCGCTCCCTAATGAGCCGTTAGGCCGCGGGCGAATTTATTATTCCACCACTGACTAGGCGGAAGCCAACTTGTCCACCACGCTTAGCAAAGCGGAAACCATCCTGTTATGCTGGAGCGTCGCCACGTCAAAGCTAAATGATGAACAGTTGAAAAATGCAGAGTTTATTGACTAGCGGTCGATGGTAAGCGGTCGATAATCCACATATAGTCGTCAGTGCGTATCAGTGACTAGCGACTAGCAGTGAACTATAGAACACGGGGTAGTTAATGTTAGGAGGTGGTCGATAGTCTATAGTTGTCCGTGGGCAGCGCCGAGTCATAATCGGAGTTTGGTGGGCTGTTGAAGTTTTTAGTCAGTGGCCGATAGTCGTCAGTGGAAAGCGGTTATCGGAGATCAATGGTCACGTGTTTGGTAGGGGTGGGTAATGAGAAGACCAACGGTATTTGGAGCCCAGTTCCAGTTGTAAGTGGTGTTGGTGGACCGTAGGTGGGCTAGTGCCGACTGCCGACCAGCCAGCTACAAAATCCGACCGTCAGGTAGAGCGCTGACCGGCTTCCGCCGACGCTGTCGGCTC